TTTCAACATTTAAATATCTGTTAAAGTAACTAATAAATGAACAAATTTCAAACTAAATAACGTTCTAAAAGCTACAGTAAATTTAAAAGGAATAATATCTAAAATAATTAAATTGAAAGAATAAAAGACATTTATAATATTTTTGGACTTTATAAAACTCATTTATAAAGTCCATTTATATTTATTATTCATTTATAAAGACATTTATAAAATTCATTGAACAACTTTGATGCATCATACTCAAAAAGGGAAATAAGAAACTCGAAAAATAAAAACTTGATATATCAAAATATAACGGAATGAAATAAATAAAGAGTTCAAAAACAAAATAATTAAATATCTCGAAATATCCGTTCCAGAGGTTTCCTCTCATGTTCCGGAGGTTTCGTATTTGAGGTTCATCTGTATTCCTATATATATATATTATATATTAGATAGATACGTAAATAAATGGATAGATATAGATACGTATATGTATTCCGGTATATATCTAGATATCAATATCTATATCTATCTACCTCTCTATATACGTGAGCTTGCTTCTGAAGGCAGAAAAACGAAGTGTTTAATAAAATAAATATTCTTCCTCCAGAATCAGCGTGACAGTTGATAAAAATGTGTCACCCTAGCTTTGGATGAAAGAAATTCATTTTATTAAATAATCTCTTTTTCTGCTTTCGAAGCCAAACTTAAATTTCCGTATACTGTGAAATCTTTCTTTAGTTTTATAAGCATTAAAATCGGTTACATAGCATAATTTAATATTTTTAGATGATTCCTAAAATATATGAAATATAGCTAGTTTTACTGCATATAAATCTTAATAATCTTTAAAGTTAAATAAAATTATATACACTCTTACACAAAAATAAACGACGCACCACGACACCGAGAAGATATAAAGGAAATTGGACACAAATTGATATGCATACAGGTTTCGACGGAAAGTACAAAATTTTACATTTTAGCTGCCAATGAATGAACGGTTGTCGCTACGGTGCATCTGATCTGCGCAACTAGCAGGATATTAAGAGGAGAAATTACGATTCCAGGCCATAAATTCTTCACCAATTTCATTCGGTGTACTCTGGTAGACAGTACACGGACTGGCCTCGCATCTCGCATGCAGGTGCGCGAACGATATGCGCAGATGCCAGAATTTGAGAGAGATCGTATAGTTGGGTTCAAAGAAGCCGGTTGGACTTATCGGCGAATAGCTCGACATTTGAGCAGGAGCGATGCCACTATTAGACGATGTTAGCAGGTATGGGTGAATCATGGCCGTACACAGCGTCAAGAAGGAAGCGGTAGGCCTAGAGAAACGACAGAACGTGAAGACCGAGCAATCGTCAGAGTGGCACTCAGAGGCCCAGATGCATCAGTGTCATCGATTGTACGTGCAACTAGTGCTTCAGTGACCGCAAGGATCATTCATAGACGGCTCACGGAAAGGGAGCTGAGGTCACGGCTCCACTTGTGCCGACTACCACTGACCTCTGTACAACGTCAAGCCCGTTTGCAGTAGCGTCGGGCTCATTCGCACTCGAATGTCACTGGAGTAGAATAGTCTTCAGTGATAAGTCCCGCTTTGAACTGAGCGCCTATGACCAGAGAAGGCAAGTCTGGAGACGCCCCGGACAGCGGTGTGATACCAACCTAACTGTCTTCCGGTAGACAGGCTGGCAACATGGAGTGATGGTATGGGGTGCCATTTCATTTTAATGACAACCCTTTGGTTGTCATCCGTCGCAACCTTACAGCACAGCGGTATGTCGACAAAGTTCTAAGGCCCATTGTATTGCCCTTCTTGTCACCAACCTGGGCTTACATTTCAGCAAGATAATGCCCGTCCCCACACTGCACATGTTTCTGCTGCTTGCCTTATTGCTTGCCGAATATTATCTTGGCCAGCAAGATCGCCGGATCTCTCTCCTATTGAGCACGTTTGGAGCATTATGGGCAGGGCCCTCCAACCAGCTCGGGATGTTGACGATCTAACGCGCCAGTTGGACAGAATTTCGCACGATATCCCTCAAGAGGACATCCGCAACCTTTATCAATCGATGCCAAGCCGAATAACTGCTTGCATAAGGGCCAGAGGTGGACAAACGCATTACTGACTTTTTCACTTTGTGAAGCTCTATCACTTCAATAAATCATCCAAATTTTTCTCAACCTGTAATCATTTGTTTTTCTGTACATGTACATCACTTCTACCGATTTTCTTCCCATTCGGATAACTCCTTCTTGGTGCGTCGTTTTTTTGTCTAAGAGTGTATATATATGTATGTGTGTGTGTACTTTCGAAGACACAGGTAGAGTATGTAATCAGAAAAAGAGCTCTAAGTACTTTAGAGTAGTACTTATCGCAATATTTACTCTTACACGTTTAAAATATTTCTTATTTATTTAAGTTTTATATTTAGGCAATCACACCTTTTCATTTCAGCAAATTTAATTCTTCACTGTAACTTCGATATAATTTACTTTTCATATTAGATGACATACATAAAATAGCTTATTAATACTCTGTTTTGGTCCTCACTTTGATCTCCTGATTTTTTTCTTAGTTTCATTTGTTTTAACAAATATGAAAGTTTAACATTATTAGATTATTTAATGATGACTTAGTTTTGTCTTTCGAGTGATTTCAATGATGAAAATAAGGATGGAAGTTAACGTTCTTTTGTTTCATGTAAGAAAAGACTTTGCTTTGTCTTTTGAGGAATAGTTTCAGAATTAAATAACAACATTGTGGCATTTATGTTTGGGTTTTTACTAATGAACTGTTATTTAATTTATACTTTTGCTTCTGCCTCATTTCGCTCCTTCTATGATTTATGTAATTTTGTGTGGGAAGCAGTTTCACTGTAAAATGTGAAAAACTAAAAATAACTGTGCATGAGAGTTCTGGCTTTTAGCAAGTAACTTGCGTGTAACGTTTTGCCCTCTTCTGGTGACTCTGATGTAGGTCTTGAATTACTTAGTGTTGTGAAAAGCTAGATTCGTGCTAGTAAGTTGTATGCTTGAATGTGTGTCGCGATCTAGGAAAAGTTTGTACCCTTGGCAGTAATAGATTAAATTGTTTTAATTTGTGGTAGTTTAAAAGAAGCTTGTTTTTAAGACAGGTCCAAGTGACTGGTAATTTTGTGTTGTATATTTTAAGTTACGCCCTCATAAGTGGCCAAGTAGAATAAATTCAGAGTTACCTTATTTCTGTATCTTTATGTTTTATAAACTATAATTTCTAATGTCTATTATTCACCTCACATAATCTATGTAACACGTTACTTTGATTAGAACTGAGCCAACTAGAGTAAAAGTAACCCAAGAAAAGTTTTACAATGACACTCAAATGAGGATCATTATTTTAAATTACAAAACTGCGAAATTTTCATAATTTTTTATGATGATTACAAAATGTTCATAAATTATTGAGAGTTATTTAAGATGAGGCTGTCATTATTCATATCTAAGAGCGTATTGTTTCACCTCGTTGTTCCTTAAGTTCCTTCTCACATTTGAAACAACCACGAGCTTCCTGATCCATTAACCAACATTCTAGATATTTCTCACTTAAAGCTTAAAAATGTGACTTTCATGACATGAATTGTTAGAACCTCATAATTTGCTAGTTTATGCCTATCATAACTTATTCTGATTTGGGATCTGGCATCTCTAAAAGAAATAGATTGCAGGAGTTTGCCACAGTATTCTGAGCAGAAGAGATCATTCACCACTTTTCATCAAAGTTGGAAATCTGATTTACAGTGGCATCGATAGCAAAAAGTCTTTCTGACAATGATACATCACTTTGTTTGTAATACATAACTATAACTCTTGGATTAAAATAGAATGTAATACGATTAAGGGAGAAACTTGAACTAAATATAAAGTTCGGTGAATGTTCAGGAGTGCAGAAAACGCATTTTTAAACAATGGAGGGGCGTTTATAAAAAGCGTTTAATTGATTGATTTCTGCGCCTTATTTACATGCAGCTAATGCAGTGTAAAATAAAGTGCTTTTTAGAAAACGAAATTTCGTCAAATTTATTGTTAACACGCTAAATGTAAATTTATTTCAAATTGGTATTATGAAACAATTTTCTGCTCACATCTGTTACTAGTTTGCAACTTTTAGGTGAAAATTAATATAATTTAGTTTTTGTGAAAAGGCTTGTTTCTGGCCATAAGTTATGCCTTCATAACCTTCATGGCGCAATTTATGACCATGACTGTTTATTCAGCGAAAAGATAAAATATTACATCAAAAGAAATAGAGATTTAACTTACAATCATCACGTATTAACTCTTCTGATAATCTGAGGATTCTAATATTTTTACTAGACTTCTTTTTTACTATTTTTATCACTTTTTTCTACTCATTTGCTTCATCTGAAAATCATCACAAATTGTCTTGAAAAAATAAATAAATATATATGTAGAAAATTTTAACTCTTACTTGACTGTCAAGAAGGATGGTCATTGTAACTGTTATAGAACTAAATTTTTTTAGAATATTTCAAAGCCAGGAAACCATAGAAATATGCAGTACCTTCGCTGACACTCGAACACTGTAACTTCAGTGCTAGCTGGACGTGCTTTTCAGTTATATCGCGCGGTAAGGAGGGAAACAATATTGCTGTTTTCCCGACTTAAAAGGCGACTGAGGAGCAGGTGGCCTACTCGCCAAATACTGGCAGTGACGAATCATTTAGTCTGGAAGCCACATCTAGTTTCATTAAAAATTTTTCAAAGCCAGGAAACCAAAGATATAGGCTGTGCTCTCTCTGGGACTCGAACTCCCAACTGTCCGATGCTAGCCGGATGGGCTTTGCAATTGCACAACGAAGGCTTGCGGTAAAAAGGGAGAAGCCTTACGATTTAAAAATTTCAGAACCTATGCACATAATTGATTATATATAAACATGAATTAACTTGCATTGGATTTCATTATCGATCTCATATAATTAAGATGGCTAATGTATTTCATATTTCAGGGGGAAGTCGAACTTCAGACAAATGGAGAAAAAGATCTTGGACAGCATCATTGGCCCAGGCAGATATGACAGCAGGATACGTCCTCACGGTATCAATAATACAGGTAAGTCGGTTTTTGCTTTAAACTCCATTATCTTAGCCCACTTATCCTTTATATGCTATTTAGAGTCTAGAAAATATTTTTTGAAAAGGTCCGTTTACAGCGCTGTTTGAAAGAGTAAAAACAAATTAGGAAGATATTATGCGCTAATATTAAGATGCGCTAATATTTCTTTCTTCATAATCACTATGCTAATGTTATTCGCGAATGTTGTTATGAGATTCATGAAATATCTGAAATGTACAGTAATTTGGGGTCAAAAACAGGATGATTTCATAGTATGTTGAAAATGGTAACATCTTATTTTTGGATTCAAAATTTGAACTGAGCTGAAGATACATTTACAGCGGAAATCTTTAAAGGTGATTTCGGGGCCCAGAAATATTCTATTATTACGAATAACTGAATAAACGCATTCTTTCAGCATTAAGAGAAGAAAAGGGAACGCAAAAAATAGGTAATTGTTTAGAAAGCTAATTTGGAAAGAAGACGAAACTTTACTTCCGAAGTTCATAAAGACGCAACTTTACTTACTAAGAGCTATTCTGCAGTAGTCGAAAGTCTGCAAACATTTTGCATTTCATTTGTTCAAAAATATCCGCTTATAAGCTGTGAAGTTCAAAACAGTATTGTTCAAAGGTGAACTTATTAGAGTGAAGTGGAAGTAATATGAGCATTGTATGCGGAGACATGAGCATCATCCATCAATTTTACCAGTATGACTTCCTTTTAATTAGTAAAAGATTTAGATTATTTTCGAATTCCTATGAATTTCTGAGAACTATCAGTAATCGGGAATACTTCAGACATCTTACACGAAAGTGATACAGTAAAACTCTTAAGTTATGATCAGATTTCTATCACCTGCCTCCATTCCTCTTGATTACTAATAAGCGAATATCTGAAGAAAAATTCACTCTTTATAGGTAACACGGTCAGAATCCATTAACCTAAAGATCTGTAAATTCCATTCTTTGGGTAGTTGCTTCTCATGAAGAAGTCCATTAGAAGCCTTCTTTATCACGAAATTCCATAGGAAGAATAAGGAATATATAGAGAATAATCTAAAATCATATTCACATGCGTATTCAGTTCAGCTATTCCCCTTTTTGTTGTCCATATTTCCTGCGACTTCCATTGTTATCACACTGGTAAATGTTAATCTCATCATAAACAGATGGAAAGGTTTATAGGAATCTTTATATGTAGCAGAAATATGCTACCCGTGAATGACTGTACGTGCATTTGATGCTGTTGAGAAAAAAATTGATGTTCATAAATAAATGTCTTTAAACATGTAAACGAGTGGAAAAGTCAAAACAGTTAAACGATAAGAATAACCTTTGTTAATCACTATTTCTTTTTTCATGACTTAAACGTATTAGCTGCACACTGGTTACTACTTAAATCGCTCGTCTTTTTTCCTAGTAGAGTCCTAGTAGAGTTCCTAGTAGAGTAATACTCTGGGTCGACTGGGGAGTCAAACTCTCAAAATTGTAATGAATGTTTTGGTGACTAATCTATTAGAATTGTATACATTATTTTAAAAAATTTCCTTTTAAGATTTGTGCAATTCATGTGAATGTACCGCTTTTATAATTTCTATTTTTAATCGGTTATCATTGAGGAATAGGCTGTAATTATGACTTGGAGCTGTGGTCCGTCTATCAGCACATGAGCGTAACAACTGAATTATCGAAGACGTTATTTGTTTCCCCTTAATCACAACGTACGTGGTGTTTCACAACTGACGAGAAAGTGTTCTTGACTTCGACTCCCTGGATTTCTGGACGACGTTAAGGTTTCTCTTTCCCCGGAACTCTTTTACGCAACCAGTGATCTTTATTTTTTGAGCTTATTTCTGGTTAAATTATGGAATCGACTGAGAAAGAATCTGGTATCTTGAATTATATACGCAAGAGAACTATCATGACATGTATTCAAAGGAAGCCTATTTTTATGAGTGCTTGATTAGAGTTAATTTAAATAAAATTTTCTACTTAGATTACGGCCCATCAGCGGCCGGGCGGTAAAATCGCTGAACACTGGTAGTTAAAACCTGAATTTGATTATACGCAAATGGGTTGGCTGCATGTGCGTTTTCATGGTTATTCTCACATGTAACTTGTATACGAACCAGTTTCCCTTTGAAAAACCTCCTTGAAGGCATCCCCTGTACTTAGGCAGATAGCCCTAGTGTACTTTGCCATAATCAACTAAACCATACCAAACTAGTTACATTATACTTGCAATTTTAAAGTGAACGTATATTCATTTGTTATGAAGTCTTGCCTATTAGCATTTCCTAAATAGGTATTTCGCTATGCCCCTTCATTTGTTATCTAAACTATCTCAGCTATAAAGCAAAACATTTAATGCAGGAAAAGTAAGCTAAAAATAATTAAGTTTTAGGCAAATTCTCTATTTAGTTTTCATTTCAGCCGGCAAAAGAAAAAAATTAAACTTTATGATGTTAATATGCCAGTTACCCATAAAAGAAGCAGAAAAAAAAATTACAGATGCTTTTTAGCTAAACAGCATTGTATGAAATGTTTTCGTATAGTTGGAATTATATTTTAATTAAAAATGCACGGCTACTCTGCAATTCTTGTACAGGATTCATTCTTGTAATTCATTCTTTGAACAGGATTCATAAAGGGAATACTTTTATAGTGCATATGCGGAAAAGGAGTATTAGTTGTTTCGACTACATATTTGTATGACTTAAAGATTAATGAAATTTTTATATTCCTTCATATTAAAAATTCATACTATTTAATTTGTTCACCTCATTAAAATAAGGTAAACATTTTTATGCACGAAAATCGTAATTACGTAGAACGTTATAAAAAGCTATATTTAGGAGTATGTCTGCATATTTGTCTCAGATAGTAAATTTTCTTCAAAATGTAATTTCGCTGATTGTTAGAGAAAACAAAAGATTAAAAATTCAAATGAGATTCAATAATTAAAAAAAAATTAAATCGTTAATCATAAAAACGAAGATAAACGTTAATAACAGCCTTGAATAAAATTACATTTACAGTCTAGCAATATATTTGTTGTCTGTGTATCTAAGAATTCTAATGGAAAAGAAAATGCTCTTTAAACGCCCCATTTAGAGTTAAGTGCATTTTTTTAATAAAATATTCCTACGCAATTAAAAGGATACAGTTCTGGTAGTTATTTTCTTGACGTCCGTAACTCACACTTTCGAAGCAAGGAAAGAATTATACATCAGATAATTAACTGCTTGAAATCGATTTTCTGCAGAAGCAAGGGACAAAAATTAATCATACTGATAAGATGTTAAGCCCAAATATTATACTCGCATTCGCAGCTACATCCATCAGGAAAGTTAATTAAGAATCTTGAAAAATATTGGAATAAGTAATTTAAGCAATTGAATTACCAAGCTCAATAATTGCTTTAAATTGAATAGAGTTACCTGCAGTGAATTTGGTTGCATTCATTTATACTAAATTTAAATTTTAGAATGGATTGAATTTAAGGAAAGATGCTAGTCAAAGTTCTGAACATGACGCTATTGTCTTTCGTTTCACAAATTGGAATTTTAAGAAGAAATTAATGTGGTAATGTTTACACGAGTAAATATTTGAGAGCGGTTCTAATATTTGCCCAGCGTTAGGGAAAGAATTACACACATATACTTCTAATTTTACTCTAGAAAATGAATTAAACGTGCATGCGGAATTGATGATTACGCGCTCAAAGCGGTAAAAACATTTGTTAAATCGCTATTGTTCAAGCTTGGATTTTGGTAAAAATCAGTAGCCGATTTCAAGGTTTACTGCTTCACATCACCACTAGAGTTGACTTCTTCAGAAATTTAATTATCTTCCTCAACCGACGTCGCATTTATCTAGGAACGGTATTCATTTTACGACCATTATATCAATTAAATTAACTATTTTTCAGACACACACACAGCTTAAAATTTAATACTTAGATCTTTTACAGTTGCTATCCAATAATGCTTTAAACTGAAGTTCAATGAGAAACCTAACAATACGTAAAACCATTGTACAAACAAACTTTAATTTCAGATCTCTTTCACAAATGTTTTGAGAATGAAGCCCTAAAGTAGGTCTAACATAGCACTGAATTTCTGAGGCGCTGGAATTCCTAATATGAGGTCTTTAGATAAACGTTCTCTTTTCTAAGACAAGCTTTGGTTTCTGAAAACAATTTCGAAAGAAAAATCAAAAGTTTGAAATGAAAAATCTTTACAGATCGATTCTTATTACTTGCATCATTTTTAAACCAAAATATTAATTAAATCTCTCTTTTGTGAATCTATACTTTCTTATATCCATCCATGTTCTTTCTGTGTATTCTTACAGAAAAGTGAGTATTGAATATTTTATTATCTTCTGTTTTCACTGCTTGTAGCTTGCCAGTGGCTGACTACGTGGAGGTTTTCATGACTTTCCTTGTGCCAAGAATAATGCCAAGAAGTTTTCCTTAGATTTATAAAGCAGCGATTTAATCAATGCTTTGATTTTTAAAAATAATGCAAGTAATAAGAATCAATCCGTAGAAATTCGTCCATTTAATATTTCAAATTTTCTTTCATAACCACTTTCAGAAACTAATCTTTCACTCAAAGAACATATGCGACCTCATATTAAGAGAATTTCAGCACCTCAGAAATTCAGTTCTCATAACATAACATTTCAAAATTGTTCTAAGATAATTATTAAACATCCCTTAATTTAAAAATTAAAAGACAACATTTTTATTTATTTTTGCTTCAAAGCTTAGATTCGGGTTACACAAGCTTCTTTACGTACATTCCATTCAACATATCAAGCCTATCTTTTTTTATGTAGCAGTCTGCTTTTTGAAGGACGTAGTGCCCCTCTATTCCCATATAACAAAAGTCAGATGCTGAAATTAGCAGTGGTATGTCCGTGAAGAACATCCAAATTTTTCTGTCTGAGAAAGACAGGAAATTGTCACCTCTAAATAATGCTAATTGT